CTAGCGTGGTGTACCTAATAAAGTGGCCGGTGAGTGTATATATATATAGGGCTGTCAAATGATTAAAATTTTTATCTATTCCAAGGTAGCTGTGAATTAATCATGATTAATCTTAAACTTAATATAAAACTTTATTGCATATTGGTAAAATAAATTACTTGAGTTATTACTACTACATACTACTACTATAGTACTACACGAGGAATGAAAGATAGAAACTATGTCACAATTGACAGCAAAACATAAATAAATAAAATAAAATAAGCCATAAGAAGACAAAAAGAAAAAAAAACTGTACATAATATGTTGCACATGGAGTTTTTTTAATATTATTTATTTAACCTTTATTTGTCCAGGTAAACTGTTTAAGAACCACTTCTCATTTACAAACATGACCTGGCTGCACTGAGTGCATTGCAATATACAAATCTACATATTCAGCCATGGTAAAGTGATTGTAAATTTTAATCGCGATTAAAATTTTTAATCTATGCCCATGCAGCACTAACGTTAATCCGAGTTAACTCAATTAATTTCACAGCCCTAATTTATTTATTTATTTATTTATTTTTCTAAGCTTGATGTCATTCTTCCTTGTCAACAGGGTAAAGTTCACCTGGAGATGCGACTGAATGAGGTGATCACAGAGAACGGCTCAACAGGTCAACAGTTATTAGTTCGGTAAGGTGTAAGTTTCCCTTTTTACAAATACAGTCTTGGTTGATATGTTTTGTTTTCTAATTTTGGCACTACACAAAACTTAAAATAATAGTAGAATTAAAAAATGTAATTGATTATTTGGCTGAGAGTCGAATCATAACTGCGGAAGATTTTTTTTTAATTAAAACTATCAGGTGAAATAAAATGACATGAAAACTTTCTTTCCAAATTACCTTTAATAAATACAGAGAAGAAAAACAGATTTTTAATCAAACTGAAATAAAAGATAAAAGCACTTGATTCAAAGTCTCTAATTCTTGAAGCCACAGGTGCTCCTCTAAGCAGCAGTCTGACACTTTGAAATTCAAATAATACCTTCAAAGGAGGAAAAAGCCAGACATTACTAAAAAACTTTCATGTAACTTTGATGTGTTTTTGTTCTCGTGAGGCTATTTAAACCTAATTTTTAGTCAGGTGACTACCAGATACATTTTTAAACACTTTATTTGACTTGAATATATGTGTATGTAAATTTATTTTTCCACCATAGTTTTAAAATAAAGCAGAGGATCAGCCAGACATTATTAGACATTAAACACATCTTTGAATTTGCCCTTTTAGGTTTTACTTGAATGTTTATAAAACATCTGAATTATTTTTAGTCTTTTTCACCTGTGAAACAGTTTAATAGAAAATCTAAACTAAAACTACAAAGACTTTCTCTTCGGAACAGATCTGACCTCAACTAGTCAAATTCAGTGAGAAAGCTACATCATGTGCTCTGTCGTTGCAGTATGCAAATTGGAATCATCTGTTTCATGAGGTCAGAGGTTTATGAGCAAAATGGTAATCATATAAAAGGTAATATAAAGTATATCACCTTCCAATTTTAGTTCTCTGTAGCTTCCTATTTTTTCCATTTGGTTTGTCATAGCTTTTTTTATCTGTTACCGTTACTTCCAAGGTATTTATTTCACTTCAGGTAGTTATTGCAAGCATTAGCCTTGTTAAAAGAGATGGAGGGTTAAGTTGTAAAATCATATACTGTATGTGCAGATGTCACAAATATCAGGCTTGTGTACGTACRCTATTTTGCACCTTCCCCCCATTCATACTTACAGAGCCCTGTAATGAGGAGGAAGTGATGGCATCTGAGCAGGAAGTGTGCGCTTCTCACACTGCAACCACTGTGGTTTTCTTCTGCTGTCATTCACTGTGTCACTCAGATTGTTTGCTTAAACGGACATGGTTCACAGCGCTGATGCATGCGTCACATGCTCCTTTTTTTTTTCGCCCTCCCCACTGCAGGAGTCAAATCCAAGGTGTCCGGCTTTTCACGTGCTCACCTTCAGTCCTCCTGTTCTGCTGCGCTTTGATCAGTTACGAGAGGGGTTAGCACACAAGTGTAAAAAAAAAGTCTTTAGGGGAGTATCGTCATGACACCCTGGAAGATTACAGACAAACATCCTGACATTTGGCTGCTTGGCATGTCCCTCTGGCCTCACTTAGCAAAGGGCTGAATTCATTCTTATTCTCTGGTGGCTCCTGCTTAGCAGCCACATCCTGTTTAAGGTGCCTACAGTGTCTGTTTGTTGTCACCTGAAACACTCCTGGAAGAAAAAAAACAACGCAGTGGTTCCCATGTGACAGCAGTGAAACATGAGGGCAAAGCACTGCTTGTAATCGATGACTRTAACAGACACGGGCACTCTGGGGCTTTTTCATATTCATACACACTTTAGACTCATATTAACTAGTACAGATTYGGTTAATGATAACAAACAAGCCTCATCAGAGTGGTAGTACTTTTACAAGTTGAGACCAATTTTTGCTCAGCTGAAAWATAAATTAACCTATTACGTTGAAGGCTGCGTTAAGATGTGGGAGATTACTTGTCCTGTTGTGGTTTGTTTAGTGACAATAACCTGTTAATACAGTTCTTGTTTTTACGTAATGATCTGGTCCAAGATTAGGGTGTACGGAAACATTTGTTTCTAAATTTGCTTAACAAAACAAGTTTGCACCATTCCTGTTTTTTAAAAAGCTTCTCYTTTTTAGGTGTGGTAGTGTGGGATTGTTGATGGTTATGGTACTTTTCAAAGASCATCTGTTGAACCAACAAATAACTATTTAGCTTTTTATGCTCTTGTGACACAGTGCTGAAGGTCCTCTCCCTCAAAGTCTGCGTTACTGTAAAACACGTCAAACATACAACTGAATAACAAAAACTTTTTTATCACGCTTCCTTCAATATGTGGCTTTCTTGTTTTCCTCACAGTAATTATATTTATTTCTTTATTTTTTTCCTGAACTCCTGTAGAATAATCGAGTGTAAGGACTTGCCTTTGATCAGTGGCCAGAACTGTGACCCCTATGCCACAGTTTCTCTTGTTGGACCTGCCAGGTAACTCTTAATGCCACACTCAGACATAAAAAAGAGAGAAAGCCTCTCCTGATAGCATGCATTTAGAATTTGCATAATTTTGGTAACTTATTTGTTTATTTTTGACTGGTAACAAACCAAATATTTCCCACTGTGACGTAGCTGTCACCTACTCTCTCAGTACCAAACTAAGATAAATATAACACACACACACACACACACACACACACACACACACACACACACACACACACACA